TTCAACTCCCAGAATTCCCCAGCCAGCTGTTCTGGGAGTGGAAGTCCACACATCTTCACGCTGCCAAGGTTGAGGAACACTGGTTTATACAACATGTTCCTTCTTCTCTAGGCTTCCTACAGAAATATGTGGAGAAAAGAAATCCTGGCTCATTCTTTCCAGTAAGCTGTGAGCCCTGATCATTCAACCAGTACCCTTACCCTTGTTTCTCATTGTCTCTTTATAGCCCAATTCTTTCTACATTCCCTTGCTATTTCCTGTATGCTGCAATAGAAAGCAGTGGTGGGGCTCCCAGTTCCCTCCAGGGCCAGTTATCATAACTTAAGAATGATGGGAGGGCCAGAGATTCGCCGCAAAGCCCTCACACCCTGGAATAAGCCAAACACTTCTTGATCTGTTGATATAAACCAGCCATCTCATCACAAAACAGGAAGGAGGGCAGTCTCCTCTCCGATTCCCATTCCATTTCACCTCCACAGAGCTCCATCTGTGGCTATGATCCACCTAAGCAATGTTCCTAGCCCTTGTAGAAAACAAATCCGGCCACTGCGCAGTCCCTTCCCTGGCAACATGGACACGATTCTCCAGTCAGGGTCAGCGAGACTCCAGTGGTCTTTCTTTCTGGCAGCAGTGACCTCCTTGGGCCACTTCCTTTTGGGTTTCTGGGCAGAGGTTGAGCCGTCCCCTGGCCGGATCCTTGAGGACGGGTAGCCGGGCTGTTCTCTTCTGGAAATGCAACTTCTCAGCTGCCTCAGAAAGAAGGTGGCAGCTTTGTCTCGATTTCCTGCCCTGGTCGATGCCCAAGGTGGCTTCTCTTCCAGGAGTGGGCGTGGATGGACGGCTGTGTGGGAGGAAGGCCTGGTGGTGCAGCTCGTTTGTTCCATGGGGTCGGGTGCCTTGGAGTCTGGCCGATCGTCTGCTTTTTCTGCGAGGAGGAGGACCCGGGCCTGGTGGCAGAGCGCCTGGGGTTCTCTCTGTGGGCTGCCGGCCCTTGCACGCTCCCACCTCCTTGGGTGGGCAAGTGGCTGGAGCTTAGCCAACATGGTCTCTGTCTGCCTCCCTGGGATCTGTCCACTGCCACGGATTTGCTCCTTTGTTCTTGGTTGTTATCAGTTGCTGGTTGGGGAACAGCACTTCGTGAGACTGTCCTAAAGGGGTGCGTTTCCTCATCCAAGACGGGCTGCGAAGGCACCTGGAATTGAAGGACGAAAGGGCCAGTAGTCCGCCCATCTGGCGGCAGGATCGCTTCCATCTTGACGAAGTGGTGCGTGTGCCAGGTGCCTTCCGCGGTACAGAAATAGCGTTGTGGTCTCGCGCTGCCACGGCCTGGGCGAAAGCGCAGCCTCGCCCTCGCGCAAGAGGCGCAGTCTTGCTTCCACCGGTGCTCAGCCTGCCTCTGTTCTCACTCTTGCTGTGTGAACGGGCTCCGCACCTCGGGATGCATGTGAGACCTGTGTGTCGGGGCCATCGCATCCCCCGCAAGGAGGTGCTGAGCGGCCCTTGACGTTGTGCACCTGTCAGTCCGCTAAAATGGGAAGGCGGCATTTTTGCCCCTGCACAATCTGGGGGGGGGGGCGCGAGGCCGCTGCCCCCCTCGGTGCTGGCTTGTCTAGGGCCTCCTCATCGGGGGCTAAAGTTCGCCTGGCCTTCAAGTTTCATAGTCCTGCGGCAGCCGCCTGTGCGCTGCTTGGGGACGAGAGCTCGCGGG